TGCAGAAACGGCAAATACGTTCCCGTTCGCCTTGCATTTCCCCTTACCGCAAAACCCGCGTGCGGTAGAATGCTATAAAAAGCCGATATATCAGCGCGGGAAAAACCATCAATTTTGACAGGTTTAATTACCTACTTGACTGATTTGTAACAGGCTAATCACCAAGGGGCGGAACGGCGTATCAAAAACAATGTCTACAGGCTCCCCCGCGTCCGACTCGCTTCGCTCGCGGATTCACGCTCCGACTCCCACTTGCTTCGCTCACGGAATCACGCTTTCGCTCGCCGAATTTTTTTTCCGCCCTCACTGGGAGCCTGTTCGCAGGCTAGCGAACTTGATAATACCTTAACTGACTAGCTGTATCCTTCATAAGCTCGTATAGTTCTTTTTTTCAGTTCTTTGATCACTGATTACTTTGACAACATGCTTGGGCGTACGTACATCGAGTTATGCGTGCGCGCGGGAAGTTTGGAGAGCACGAAAGAGAAGAGTTGCTCGAGGCGTAGCCGAGAGCTACTCTAGCTTCTTGAAACCAGCCCTTTGTAATGCTTTTGTAAATATAGTTTTCAGGATTTGCGTGCGTGTTGCAAATGAGAATACACTTTGTACCACCAACCTCATAAACTGTCATGAATAAACAAGACAACTTCTGCATCTGGTGCTGATATCAGTTGTAACTGTGTTATTAGTTTCAACTATTTGAGCACTATCCGAAACAAACTTACATTTTTTGCAAGCGACAAATCAAACGTTTTAAATGTGTTTAAACTGGGCAACGTAAATTCATTATTTTCTCAGAGCCACCTGCCAAGTGTTCCCGTTTTAATGTCCTTAATTACCAAACAAGCGTTTTGTGCGTCGCAAAATCTCGTCAATTTTGAACTGAAGTAAGGGAGACAAGTAATAAAAAATAACAATTTTTCTCTTTTTTCTCCGTTGTGGCAGTTAATAAAAACAAACAACAAAGTAACCATTAAATAAAAGTAAAAAATACGCTAACATCAGCTGGATCATAACGGCATTGTCCAGTAATTATCTACACGCATACCTCGATTCAATTTAACTGAGCTGGCTAAGCCTTAATCCCCTATTTAAGTCAAAACGTTGACATTCCTTTGTCGACAGGAAATGCATGCCTTGATGATATTTCTCCTTGGCACAGCCACAGCCGTGTTTGGAATCAGCCGTATTTCACAGCCCAGTTTTAAAGCTGGTAACTTTGCTAAGGCGATGGAAGGATGGAAGTTAAATGGAAGCGTGATAAGCGAAACAAAAGTGGACTCGGAAAGTTCTTGTCGGTTGGAGTGCGTGGAGGAAAAACAATGTCAGTCTTACAACTTTGGAACGGTGGAGGACAGCTCTGGGAGATTCTTATGTCAACTGAGCGACTCTGATCGATTTGTTGGTCGCGTTAACTTCTCAGAAGTTGAAGATTTTCGTTACAGAGGAATAAAGGTAATCATTGAACCATGCTGACCTCTCTCGACAAGCGCTTAGAAGACTTTTTAAAATATCTATAGATTTGTCGTTATCATTCGTGTGAAGGTAGCCCCTCTCCTTCTAATTAGAAGTACTTTTGAGCCTGTAATAATTCGAATTTAGCCTTACCCAAATAAGCAAGCTGTCTCTTAAAGTTTACGACGAATCACGATGTAATGACCTTTCTGAAGACAACATTGAATATTTGACAAAACTATAAATCAAGTCATGTTGTATATTTATCAAACGATAGCTGGCAATCAAACTATACCCAGAATTTTGAAATAAAATGAATTGTCGAGTTTTTTTACGACCTCTAAATACGAGCGTCCGAATCACCTTTTGAAAGCTACAAGTCAAAGCGAATTTTGTTTTTCGCCGGCTTGTTTAATAAATTTGTCCCTCAGTTTCGGGACCCAAATAAAAAAATGTCTGCGATTTACCATATTCAATTTCAGTGAAAATTAGCGAAGCATTTCCGAAATAGAATTTAAAAAAATATGGAGTGATCATAGCAAAATGACTCTTGGAGATATAATATTCGGAAATAAAAAATTCGCCCACACGTTTTTTGTGTTTTGTATGTCAAACTAGCTACTGTCCGAACAAATTCCTTTTGACTTGATAGCCTTCAAAAGGGACCCAAAAGCCGGATGATTCGAACGTTCGCGTTTAGAGGTCGTGAAAAATTCGACAATTAACCGCATTCTAAAATTTTGGTATAGATTGATAGCCAGCTCTATAAGCTTTAATCATTTGATATAGAGGCTTAGATATCTACAGAAGGTATACGGTAACCCTAATTAAATCAAGCGCCGGTAGTTATGGACTACAAGTTATCTTAGACTGAGTTACTCGGCCAGAGTAGATAGTATATAATTATTTACTAGTATTTGTACATAATGTTCCCTCTATAAGTTAAACTGAGAAAGCAAAGAAAACAAAAACAACAACAAAAAACAACAACAACAACAGCAACGCCTAAATGTTTTCGACTCACTTAAGCAATCTTCAGGATTTAAATTAATTACCCTCTCAACTTGCGCTGCGTGAGTTATTTGTCCTTCTAAGTGAATTCAGACGGAAGAGAGCTCGCAATAAAGGATTTCTTAAGTGTTTTTAGCGTTAGAATCAGCAGGCCTTCAATTATCTTGCGGCGTTGGACAGAGCATTGTACCGTACATAGAATTTGCCACTCATACTCTTGAAATAGATCTCAATCTGTTTACCACCCACGGAACAAACCACCTCATTCTTTAAAGTAAGAATTTATTTATTGCACAGCGTTATTCTTGAACCAACGAAGACTAATAATGAAAAACGTTTTTCATCGGCAATCACGTAAGCACAGATGACCTTTGCCGACAACGTTAAACTAAAAGGTCGCAACCTTAATCATTTTTTTTGAAAAAACAAAAAACAAAAAAGCAAACAAAAGCTAGCTCCAGGAGTTGTCAGAGATGTTTTATAAAGTCGAAAAAAAAAAAATTTTAAATTATAAATGTAATTACAAGTTTAAAAACTCTGATTACCCCAAGCCAAATGCTGTAAACCACACTGTATTTGTACTCCGTTCTGGAGGCTGCAGTAGAAATGAATCAAATGACCTTCGTTTTTGTATTGAGCTCTAACATAGTTATCGATCCAAATTCAGTTTCAAATTCCTTTCAAGAAAAATTATAGAACGTGTTATCCGTCACTTGTGCGTAAAATTGACAAGATTCATCCGGCGACTTTCAAAGTGCGCTTCGTACTGAACCGCATTCTGTATGTAGCTGTAAAAAATGGATACTGTTAACGTAACAGTTTGTTACGTTGTTTAAGAAACAACGCCTTGACGACATAATGAAAACGGTCCATTGTTAAACAGCAGGATACAAGCGCACCAACCCTCTAACTCAAATTTGACTGTTGACACTTGCTTTGTGCTGGTGTATGGTTTTTGAGCTAATTTTGTTTTGGTTTCAAACAGAGCATCTGTGAGACGGACAGGTCTCCCTGCGGGGAGAACACACTGTGTATTCCCGACTATCAAGAAAAAAGGGTGCGATGCAAATGCAGGGAAGGCTATACGGGAAAACCATGCAGTAAGTGAAATATCTCATGATATTCTTGCCGCTGGGTTAAGGCTTATTAAAAATAGATACTTAAATTGAATTTATTATTATTTTTTTTTTTATCAACAGAACCCAAAAGCTGCGCTCTACTCCTTCAAGATGGTTTGACATCCAGTGGCGTGTACACCATCAATCCAGATGGCGGCAAACCAATGCAAGTGTTGTGTGACATGGTCACGGACGGTGGAGGCTGGACAGTCTTTCAGAGGCGCTTGGACGGCTCTGTTGACTTCTTTCTTGGATGGGAATCCTACAAAAACGGTTTTGGAAATCTGAAGGGAGAGTTCTGGCTCGGAAACGACAATCTTCACCGTTTGACGGCTGCTGGTAACGTCTCACTGAGAGTCGATTTGGAGGATTTTGAAGACGACATCAGATACGCTGAGTACACGACTTTTAAGGTTGCAGACGAGGAAGATAAGTAC